CCCACCCCCGCCCCCGCCACCCCCGCCCGGGGCTGACCGCGTCGTCAAAGGTGAGAGGTGGACGAAGCCCTGGGGGCCTGGCCTGAGGAGCCCTGTGTGAGGGCGGGCGGGAGACCGTCCCCTCCGGAGCGGGCCCGGAAGGGCGGACGAGTGACTGGCTGGCTGTCTCCCTCGGGGAGTGGCCCCTGGGCGGGCCCCTGCTGGGCTGGGCTGAGTCGGCGGCGGCGGCTCCGCGGCGTCTCGTTCCCCTTCAGGCCGGGGTGGGGGTTAGCTTTGGAGGTCCCCTAGTCGAAGGGGTGAGTTCACTATCCGCAGTGAGCCTCTTTCTTCTACTCGGTCTGTCACAGTGGCCCAGAGGCCGCGATTAGCTTCCGGCTCCGTGACAGCTGCACGCCTGGCTGGCCTGGGCGGACCGAGGGGCTCGGAGACCTTCAGCCACGCGGGGTCGGGCGATGAGCAGTCAGAAATCATCTCAGCTTTGGCCCACGCCTGCTCCCCAGTGACAGCCGCCCGCCCCATTCGCGCCTAGTTAGCGCCCGCCGCAGGGTTTCGCGCTCGACTTTGAGGTGTCACCCATGCGGAAATTGGGGGAACCATATGGAATTGGGTAGGGATGAAAGGACGAAGCAGGATTTGGGGGCTCCGGCTGTAAGTGTAGATTAAATGGAGAAAAGGCTGCATAAAAGAAAAAGACCTGTAAGGAAGAAACATTTATTTCACTTGTCAACAGTGGTCAAAGGCCCTGCAAACACACCCACAGAAGAAGAAAAATATTTCTCAGCTGGGGCAGATTTATGGATGTTTACTAACAGGTCAGCAGATTAATTTAAAATAGAGAAATTGAGGGCTAATTGAGAGTTGCTTAAGATTTCCATACTCTCTGGGAGAGCCCATCAACTAACTTCAAACACTGCTGTGGAGGTGAGACACAGAATTGGAAATAATTTTTCTTTACCATATAGCTTAGTGTATAAATTGAATTCATTTTAGAATAAAGATTGCTTTATTGTATTGTTTATTTTTGAAAGATAGATACTTTTTGTTTTGATTTCAGCTTCTCAAATATACTGACACAATGTTTAAAACACTGTTAGCCCAGTTTTTGAAATCTGACCAGATATATTCCCATTAAAGTATTTAAAAACAATAAAACCTTTTTCCTATGTGTTTTTTTAAATTACTCAATTTGAACCTCCTTTAATAATAACACTAATTTGTAACCAGGCTTATGTGGATGATTTTTAAAAGATAGTAGTATATCCAGTTGGGCCAGGCATTGGAATAAGCTGAATAAAGAGTTTATGGAATCCTTAAACCAACATAATATCGTATATCAACTATACTTCAGTTAAAAAAAAAAGTTTCTGGAATCCTTGTCCTCAGAAATCTTACTGAAAATAAAAGATAGTGGTTCAGGCATTCATCCTAACATAAACCCTGGAGTTTTGTGGGGTTAGGAACAGCAGACATGGGCAGCCTCTTGTTTATTTCCCTGGTAACTTTTCACCCTACTGTTAGATGGGACAGCCAGTCAAATTCCTGAGCAGTTAGTTTATGCTATCCTTAAGCTTGTGAATCTCATTGTTTCTTTTAATATGTATGGTAATATTCTCCCTATACTGCTTTAATACAGTAAAAATAAGGTTCCATATATAAGGTATATTCCTTAGGGGTGAATTGTGAATCCAAGACCAGTCATATTTGCAGTTGACTGGTGTGGAATAATATTAATTTGATTTAGGTAAATAGGATAGGAGCTTGTTAGTATAGCAAGTTACATTTAAATAGAGCTCATGGATATAAGATTTCCAGTAATATATTGTTCATCAAAACTTTCATTTCTTTGTGGAATTTGTTGGCCAGTTGGGATACCTGATAGAGATTACATGTTTACAGATGATGAGCAACAGAGTAGTTTACACTGTTGCACTGCCCATTGAGTCTCAGCTATGGCTTCGCTGGAAGTTATTGGAGATTTTACCTTTCATACAGAAGACCACTTATAGATTTCATCTTCAGCCTGAAGATATATGACCATAGTGTTCCTTCAACTTAGGTTTAACTTGTTAAAATCCAGGTTTCTTTTAAGTCCAGTATGTGCTAGTTTTGCATTCATACCTTTATCATAGTAGTAATACTATGACCACCTTTAGCACTGAATACAGTCTTTTACTCCTGGAAACTTGCCTTTAAATTTAATGCTTTTTACACTTAAATATTTCATGGTCAGCAGGCCTGTATTTTATGGTCATGTAGGTTTTGAAGGGGATATAGATCTTTGTGTATTTAATAACACATGCTTGAAATTCACTGAATTTGAAATTTGAGATCTTGGAATACCATAGAGGTGATTCATATATAAATGTAATTTTCTCTTCACTGAAATTATCACTGATTATGGATGACTAGGTTTCTTTGTTAAAGTAAATTCAGTTGTGAGCCTACTCCATCTGCTGGCTCCTGACAGATTCTTCTCTTTGAAAGTAGATGTAGCTGCATGGCTTAGGTGAGATAGTATGCCTCAACTATTTTCTGTTAAGCCTTTTTCAGTCTTTAGCTAAGAAGTTGGAAAAAAGAAAATAGAAACAAACTAGGAAAAACAATTAACTGTAAATGCATGAATGCCTTACTGCCCCGTCAGTGAAATTGGTGGGGTATTTAGAGCTTAAAACCCTGAATTTATGTATATTGCTTCCTCATCTCTTTCCAAAATTTGGTTGACTGGCATTGTCTAGATACTTTCCTTTTCTTCCCAGGTACTTTTAAGATGTACTTTTTGCTGTATAGACAAGGTCCCAGACTTGTAAAACTAGCTTGTCTCTTGAGATTATTAAATCTTTTAGCCTTGATACAAAAATTCACCTTTATCACTTAGAGTGCACTGTCTAGATTGTGTATATGTTCATTTTAGCATCCACAGTGTTATTCATTTTCTTTGCATTCATTGTATTTTCTTTATTTCCTTGGTTATGTCAACCTTATCTCTTGAATTACTAGATTTTCAGATTGAACCAAAATGTTGAAGTGTGTGTTTTTTAAGTTTTTTAAACTGATATATTTCTGATGGGCAGTTTTATGATTCATTTAGGTTCTGTTGCCAGCTGCTCTGCTTATAAATCTGAAATTACTTGGCTAGCATGTTTTTCAGAACTTTAGCTTTATTATAATTGCTTATTTTCATTACAGATTTTTAGATGACCCATGTAAGTCTTGGG